ATGATGCGGCGGCCCCTGTCGTGCGTAAAAACAACTTCAAATGACTTTCGACGTTGCCTTTTTTTTCTCGTTTCTTTTTTTCCCGGACCGGGCCGTGCACCCTGGCGGGCATTGCCCGTGTAATGGGCGCGGGCTTACACCGCAGCAGGGTGTGGCGTATACTGCGTGGTGTACTTGCGTGACGTACCTCGTGGCGTATACTGCGTGGCGTACACTGCGTGGCGTACACTGCGTGGCGAATACTGCGTGGCGTATACTGCGTGGCGTATACTGCGTGGCGTATACTGCGTGGCGTATACTGCGTGGTGCGTGGTGTCGATCGGTCAGGTGCAGCTGCTCTACACTATACAACGCTGTCACGACCCCCTGTGGAGCATAGTGTGCTGAATAGTGGTTGGGGAGGGGGATTCCTAAAACTTCTCCGAAGACGTCGACTTTTTGTTGCTGGCCCACGGGGGCCCGGGTGCTGCTGCTGCTGTTGTCGGGGACCCCGTCACGCCCCGCGGCCAGAGGCTGCTGCGGGGGCCCCGTGCGCTTGGGCCCCTAGGCCTTGTGCAGCCTCTAGCGGCCCCCGTGCCGCGCCGCCACCTCAGCCGCCACCGTGACCGCCCCCGCCGCGCCCCGCTCCGCCCCGCCCCGCACACTCGCTGAGCCATGGCTGCTGAGCACAGCCGGGGGCATTGACTTCGGCCTCCTCCTCCTGCTTTACGCTCTGGTTTGTGTTATTTCGCCCAATTAAACTGCATCGGAAGCAGCGGCACCATTATATTGAGTGTCGCTGCGGCTGTATGGCCCCCGCCCGCGGATAGCCCCCCGGCTAAGGCTCCCGCCGCCGTGTCACTGGCGGCCGCGTTTCGGTGACTGGAGACGATTGATAAATACACCAAAAATGTGATTCGGAGAAATGCAGGTGCATTGCCCGCGATCCCTTCCAAACAAGATTACACATATCAGGCCGGTCGCGGAAAGCTTTGAGTCGCGCTCGGAGCGGCGGCCGCCCGCCAGCACTGCGGTCGTGAAAGTCCTGCCAGGAGTCCAGTAGTGGAGGAGACGGGGACAGGGGCGTAAAAGTCGCCGAGGAGACCGACACTTTTGTTTTGCTGTTTCACTGACGACGAATAATACCCAACAAGCGCGTCGTGATTTTCTTAAACTGAAACTCGAGTCCAGCAGAGGAGTGGTCGCATCAGCGCGATTGGCGGCGGCGGCCTGGTGCTGACGGAGTACACCGTCATCATCTTGCACTCTGAGTGAGGAGAGAGAGGGGGGGGGGGCTGCTTCCGCGTTGGTTGCTGAATAGTAGCTGAATAGCACCCCGTCCTCCGCGCGCGGTACAGTATTTTGACCCGCCCTTTCGCCACGACGCCACTGGCTGACAGAGCTGTAGTTGGCTGAGGCCCCTGCTGACTGACGGAGCCGCTGGCTGAGGACGGCTGAGGCCCCTGCTGCTGACTGACAGAGCTGTTGGTTGAGGTTGGCTTGAGACGCCTGCTGACTGACGGAGCCGCCAGCCGAGGCCGGGCTGTTGGTTGAGCAGGCTCCCTGGCTGAGGCCGCAGCTGCTCCGCGCTGCTCTGCTTCTGGAGCACGCCGTCGCCGTGCGATACTGTATCGGGTAGCGGGGCTGGCGTGGCGTGGCGCCGCGGCGGAGGCCGCGTCGTTGAGGCAGGTCAAGGCGGGCGGGCGTGCTGCTGCGGTGGCGGCGGCCACCCCGTGTGATGCAGCTTGCATCTCCTCGTCAAGGTCTAGGACGTCATCGGGCAGCAGCAGGCAGCACTGCACACCACATGGACGTGCTCTACTTTGCGCACGCGATGCCCCCGTGGGAGGAGATGAGATGCGCGTGCGTGTGCATCGCGGCACTCTAGTAGTGTACAGGGACGCCCCTTGTCGGCAGGCATGCACCGCGCCAGCAGCAGCAGCAACAGCAGCAGCAGCAGCACCTGCGAGATGCCAAGCGTTGCTCCTCCCGGCTCTTCTCTCCCCCCCCCCCCTTCTCTCACTCACACTCGTCCTCTTTCTCTCTCTCGCCTGCGGTTTGCCGCCGTGAAAGTATTGTAGTGTATGTGGCGGTCCTGTAACCATGTTCGGGATTATGCAGGGGCCGCGGGGTCAATTAGCACGCGCGGTGTGGTGTTGGCGTGTTGTGGCGTGGCGGTGGTGTGCTCGCCCCGGCCACGCCCCGCCACGCCCGGTCACGCCGAGGGAGTAAGGCGGGAAGTGCAGCTGCACTGCTGCTGCTGCCTGCCCTGTCGGTGCATTGCGCGCGCTCTCACACACTTGCAGACACTAACGCCAGGTGTAATGTGCATCAGCAGCAGTGTGTCGACCTGCTCATTGTGCGAGCGTCTCAGGGCACCGCACAGAGTTGGCGCGCTGTTGTTCGGTGCGCGCGGGAGGGGCTACCTGCCGACCCGGCCCCGCCCCGCCCCGCCTCACCTGCCCCGGCCCGGCCGGCTCGAGATCACCTTGGCAAGGGACCGGGGCGGCGGGGCCCGTCCGTAAAGTCGACCCGCATTGGCGGGGCGCTGCGCGAGCTCATCAGCTAAGGCAGCGACGACGACACTTCGGTCTGATTTTAGAACGACCAACCTTACTTACGCAACGGTCCGGGCCACGGGGCCGGGGCGGGCCGGCGGGCCGGGCGACGGCGGCAGAGCAGGGGCCATACACCACCGCCAGCAGCGTATTTGTTGCCGTCAGTGGCGGAGCCAAAGGCGCGCGACACCTGCCATGGTGAGAGAGAGAGAGAGGCACGGGCGGGCAGAGCTAAGGAGGAATGCGCGCACGAGAGAGGGAGGACTGTGTGGTGGTGGTGCGCCTTTCTCCCGGCCCGTCGTGCTCCTCCTGCTGCTGCTGCTGCAGCCGAGGTATACGCCGCTGGTCGGTGGTGTCAACCCCGCACAGCCAGCCTAGCCCGCCGCGACCAGCGGACGGCCCTACGCTACGGCGACAGGCACGGGCACGGCACGGCCCTGGGGAGCGCGGAGCAGAGCCAGGGCAGAGCGGAGCGGGCGAGCGCTAGCTTACCACCACTTGATTATTGTTCCCATCCGGTCGTTTTAACTGCGTCCGCTTGGCTATTTGTCGAGTTTTCCAGCGCGACACAACGGTCGCCCCTCCCCTTCTCTCTCCCTGTCCCCGTGCGACTCGGCCGCGGCCATACGCTCGACGCGCACCTCCTCGAGTCCGCGCGGGTACGGCCGCGGGCGCCTCCTCATCGCCCTCGCCCTTTGGACCGCGGGAATAACCTCTCTCTCTCTCTCTCGCTCGCCATATTCATGGCCTCACATGGGCTCATTTCAATGCCAATGCCGGGCCGGGCCGAGGCCTATATCTCCTCGTAATCGCCGGACGACTCCTCTCCAAAGTCGCCCGAGCGATAGCGGCGACAAAGCGGCGCCTGCTCACCTCGGCGTGACTAAACTACCAAAAGGCTCGCGGGCCTCACGAACGGGGTGGCGCCGCCGGCCGCGGGTGGAGACGATTGATTATTTGTTTCGCCTCTTCTTATTGTGTGTTATGGCCGCCGCCGAGATCGCGCGGCGAAAAGATGATGTGTGAAAAGTTGTCGCCAAGCGTCGTCTAGACCAGGAGGAGGAGGTGGTGTGGGAGGGTGGTCTGCGTCTCCCTCCTCCCGCCTCTCCTCCCCGCCCGGGTCAGTTCAAACGCGCGCCCGGGGAAGTGGGTGGCCCGCCTGCTGCGCCGTGTCGAGCCGCGCATAGGCAACACGCTGGTCTGGTCAGGGCCTCAGTGCGGGTGCACTGAATTACGTACTGCACACACATCCCCCCCCCCTCTCCCACTCAAACTCCAGATTACAATTCTAACGAGTGGAGTAGTTTTCATGGGGGTTGAAAAGGTGTGAAACATACGGGGGTTGACGTGGTCGTCGAGGTTCGAATTATCTGGAACTTGGAGAATTGAGCAAACAAAAGGGTTGGGGTAGTAGTTGTTGGCGCAGTGCGCCAGCCTAACCTGACTCGCCGCCCCGACAAGCTAAGGGAGAAAAGGGGAGGGGTTGCTTTGCCACTTCCTACCCCTTCTCTTCCAACCCCTTCCAACCCCCTCCCTTCCCACCCTCCCTTCTCCCCAAGACACGAGCCGAATATTGCACATGCGTACTGGTGACCCGCTCACTCGCTCCATCTTCCACCTCTTTCTCTCTCTCTCACACACACATACATAAACTGGTGTGTTTTCGTTGAGTGGCATGGTGATATGACTCGAGTGACACGAAACTTGGCGTTACTTTCATTCATAGTGAGTTCTTGTTGTGCGAGAGGAATTGTGCTTGCTGTGGCCAATTTAGCAAGGTGTTCATTCCATGCTCTGTTTTGTGAGGATTTATCTCGTTCTATTCCCTAGTCTTGTGGCGTGTTTTTGTTCTGACTCCTCCGACCTTGCGGGGGCGGATATCTAGGGGAGGGCGTCCTTTGCCTCCGTGAGCCCGCGAGGGAAGTTCAGTAGGCGGGGGCGGGGGCGGGAGGAGGAGGGGGATAAGGGGGGAGTTTTTCCGCTCTTAAGCGCTTTATATGCCTGTTTGGATGTGGGGTATTGATGTTTTGTTTCATGCCCAGAATACTGCCGTGTTATTTGATTTCCGCCTAACATTTGCTGTTATTTTGCAAAGGCAGACATTTTGCTAGCCTGCTCGTAGGAAAGGCACCGGGCCGTGTACTGCGCGGCTCGGTGAGCCCGATGGGCCAGATTTTTGTAGACGACGTCCGCCATTGTGGATGGAGTCGGGTCGTTGTGAGCGCAGCGAGCTCGGGCGGCTGGCGCTGGCGGGGCATCGTCTGGTTGGGGGGAACAGCCGAACGGCCTAGTAGCGATAGGACGATGTCCTAACTCCGAAGCAAATCTGATATTTCTGCCGTGGTTTCCTCGTTTGGCCCTATACGCTGGTGTGTGCACTTTCTCGGTAATTATGTGGTTTTGCGAAAAGTTCGAAATTGAGTGTGCTGGTGTTGGCCCTGGTTTGCAAGTCGTTTGGAGGTAGTCCTCCTACGTGCCTGCGTATAAGGACGATGTTGCCCGAGACGTGTGAGTGGTTAGTCGCTGGTCCAATTTTTCGTTTGTGAGGTTTCTCGGACCTAGAGTGGTGCAAGTGAAGTGTTTTGAGTACTGGCTTTTGTCAGACAGCTATTGTTTTGTGTAGTTGTTTATGTGGAGTGTTTTAAAGTTTTCTGAAGTAAGTGAAACCCGATACTCCGAAATGGATACCTCTTCTGAGTACAGTAAGTCAGAAACTTTGAGAAAATTCAGCTCACACTTCTACCAGCGCAAGTGTCACCTCTGTCTGCATATTATTTTGATTTTTAAGCAATTTAACAATTGTTGCCGTGAAGTCCTCATTCATTTTTACATCTATGCTGTGTGGGAGTTGATCTCAGCCTGTCAGGGGCCCAGGTCTCTAGGACATAGATATTTGGGCCTAGCCTGGGTAGTTTAAGTTTTCTGCTGCATTAGTTTTTTCAGCGTCTGAAGTTCCTGGAATTGTTTGTTTTCTTTAGTTTTTATTTACCAGTACAAAATTTAGGTTAAGTGTGTCTTCTTATTTATTTTTTCTTCCCAATAAGCATAATTAGTCTGCTTTAAAAAAAGGATTTGTTGTAATATTTATTCTATGAACATGTTGGGTTGAGTTTTTCCCTAGTTTACAAATTTACTGGTGTCTAGTCTTTCCACATTTGCCTTCTGAATTGGATCAGTACAGTGCCAACACCCACTCTCTTTCAGAATGAGAAATCCACATGGCCTATGTATTGTGTAGGCCAAACTTTATTTTAATATTTCTCCTTTGATCTGTTGTTTTACTTTATACTTTGAGTTTATTTTGATAAACTTAATCTTTCTGAGCCGTAGTATGAAATGTTGATCTCAAGAACTTTGTTTTTTTTTTTTTTATTGGAGTTTGTCCTACATGCAGAACTTGCACCTGATATCATGAGTCCCCAGAATTAAAATTTTTCAATGTCATTGTGTCTAAAAGTCTTTATTTTCTTCTTCACAGATCTCTTCCACTATGGATTACAATGTTCGCTGAAGATCCCTTAATAGTCATTATTAAGGTACGGTTTAAAAAAATAGAATTGATATCAAGTAGCAACTGTTGGTAGAGATTGGTTGAGCAATTTACCATACAAGTGAACTCATCCATCTCTCCATCTTTCAATCTCCTCTTCATTCGATTTCATTTGTTTTACGTCGTGTTTACTGTATCACATTTCTCAGTTTTTTAATTCAAAGATGCTTAAGATTACTTACAACCTTTCTTCAATTACCTTTGTTATTATTCTTAATTTAATTTTTTCTTTTTCAGATTTTTTTTTAAAAAACATAGCCTGCCAAAGAAGAATTGAGCCCAATGTTCTCCAACAATTCTAGTTCTTTTGAGATTTCTTCTGTAGCAAATGGCTCCACACAAAATTTTGAGGTGTGTTTTCAATGCATTTTCCCCCCTCTCTGAGACTCTGTTGTATTTCTTCAACATTCTAATTCCTTATGTAATGATATAGGACAATGGAGTAGTAGTGTCATGTGGAGCAGGTCAGCAAGCTGGACCTGCTCAAAGCACATGCAGCAACGAACCTGTAGCCAAGGTGGAGTCCCCTCTGCCTGGTTCCAGTTTCTCTACCAAACCTGTGCCTGACATGAGAGTAAGTAGTCAAACTCCTCTCATGCTATTCTCTCATGGTGCTTGTGTTCTAAACTCCTATATCTCCTCAGGACTCAAATATTCGCTACAAAGACTGGCCAGGCGATGTGGGAAGCCAAGCGTCATCAATGTCATCCACATCACTTGCCAGTAGCATCACCTCTACGGCAGCACAAAGTACTAAAATTGAAAGTACAATGCAAGATGGTCTGTTTTCCAAAGATGCTCTACCTACCGCTGTGCCCTCTCTCAGTGCCTCCGAGGTAGCTACTTGCAGCAGAAGCCTAGTGATACCATTGCACACAGGTTAGTTCATTCTCTCCTGAATTTTTGTTTGATCCGATTAGAAGAAGTAGCTCTGACCAAAATTGACGTACTGTTCTGTATGTTTTGTACAGGCTGTGATCCCTGTGGCTGTTGTAATCATCACCCTGATGACAACTGTGCCAGTTGTTTGAAGTCTGAGGCGTGCAGCCATGTTTGCAGCCACAAACACACCACTCAGTCCTCTCAAGAGGGCGCTAATGGGAGCTCCCCTGTGGTTGCTTCCCAAATGTCTGTGATATCCAGCTCAAGTGGCGTGGTGGTGGCCACAGAGATGGAGTTTCTTCCTCCGTCCCATTGCACCAGCTCAGGTGCTCTTCAGGTAAAACATTCTCAACTTTTCCCTTTACTGCTTTATAATGTACTTTATCACTTATAATCATTTTTGTTTTTTCCTTGCAGAGTACCCCTGCCTGTGACATTGATTCTTCAAGCAGCAATAAGCTGCACCTGCAGCGCTTTGAGCCAAGCGATGCTAATGGCAACGCATTGCCTAATGAGTCAAAGCAGCATCACCTAAACCAAATCACACCTGCTGCTATAACTGAGATTCTGAAACAGTTCCCAGGCCATCTCATTCCTTCCTGGGAGGAGAAACTTACTACTGGTGCTCTTTCTGATCAGGATAATAATTATTCTAAGGCTAATCATAGTAATAATAGTGTTAAGGAACATTCCCAAATGGGAGGAGGTGATGCCAAGCACAGCAACAATGCCTGGAGTCAAACTCCATTAAACATTCCTGAGGCAGAAGGGGATGGCAATTCTCGAGTGCCTCAAGCCATTCAAGCAACGGTCCAGGGTATTAATGACAGTAGCAACCCACCTGCAAGCTTTAATAATAATGTTAATGTTAATGATAAATATAATGTTAATGATAATGGAACTGCTTCTGTACTGGACAAGAGTACAGCTTTACTGAATGACTACGCTTGTTTGAATCTGCCATCTGGCAAAGACCTCAAAGCATATTTGCTCTCCAAGAACATGGATGTACCTTACAACTCGAATGTGGTCTTCAAAAACCCAAACCAAGACTTACCTAAAAATGTGAGGAAAGAAGTACTTCCACAGAAATTCCGTGGTATAATTCAAGGGCCAGCCAGTAATGCAAGATGGGGTATTCCTCAAGGACTTGGTCTTCGAGGTGGTGGTGAGAGCTCTCTGAACAATGGAACAACTGGCTGGGGTACACCCCCAAGTGGAAATAATAACTCGAACAACAATGCCAACAACAGCAATAATAATCCAGGAGCTAATTCTGCAGCTGCAGCTGGTTGGGGTACTGCAAATTCTACTCCTAACCCTGGTAATAATCCAGGTGGCCAAGCTCAATGGGGTGCACCCAACAACAACAGACCAAATTCAGGGAACAATCAAAACGCTGGTGCTCCCCCAAATGCAGGTTCGTATCTTATTTGTGACATGATTTATTTATCTGTCCAGCTGAATATAAGCGGAAGAACTTAACAGTTTCTTTTCCTGTAGGTCAATCGCCACCTCAATCAAATGCTCCAGGTCAGCCTACTCCCACACCTCAATCAGGTCCACAAGGTCAGCCCAACCAACCTGCTGGACCACAGCAGGTGCCTCCTGGACAGCCGCAGCCTCAGCCCAATGCCACTCAGCCTCCTCCAACGTCCCAGCCGCCGCCTCAGAATGGCTCAAACCCATGGAGTCAGGCAGGAGGTGATCTGGGACCCAATCAGCCGCCACCTGCCGGGGGACCAGCCAATAACAACAATGGTGGCCCACCTGGAAATGGATCAGGGGTGCCAGGAGGTTTGCCACCCACTAGTGGAACGACTACGCCTTCGACTCCATCAACAAAGCAACAATTGGAGCAGTTGAACACAATGCGTGAAGCACTCTTCAGCCAAGATGGATGGGGTGGAGTGAGTGTCAACTCGTTCTCTAGCACTTCTGGTGGGAGTTTGTAACTACCCCCTCTAACCCATGCTGTTATTTATTTTCAGCAAAATGTCAACCAAGATACTGGCTGGGACATCCCGTCATCTCCTGAGCCTGCCACCAAGGAAAATAATGGTGGGCCTCCTGTTTGGAAACCTAATGCCAATAATGGTGAGAACTGTGGTTTTTGCAATTGTGCAAGTGGTTTTATGGCTGCCTTATTAGTTGATTTAGCTCTGTGGGTGGCCTTGCTGTGTTTGCTTAATGTTATGTGCCATTTGATTTGGGGTAATTCTATGTCTGTAGATTTTCTAATCTTAAATTCTTTTGTGAAAACTAAAAGTCTCTGTATTGGTTATAAAAGAGCTCATTCTCCCTTCTCTTCTCCTAAAATATTTTAAAATTGTGTTTATGGTGGGTATGTGCTGAAACATCTTTTCTGTTTTGGCATGTTAGAATTCTCTAAATGTTTATACTGCACATAAGTATTTTATTTCAAAGGCCTCCAAGGCGTCGTGCGTGTTTTCATGCAGATGCTGAAAACCAATTTTTGGGAGAATTACTTCTATGTTGTAATTTTGTTAGCATAATTGTCGATAAAACACAGCTTAACTTGTACCATTGCGATTCCAACAGTTTCCAAGTAGGTTTTTTGTTCTCTCCTGTTTTGTGCATTGTATTTCTTCACCTTCTTTCTTTGGGAATATTATGGAAAGGTCTTAGTTAGACACTGTGTTTCTCAACCCTGGTGCTGGTTTCCTCCCCAAATTCAGCATATGAGATTGTTGTAACTCATCAGCTCTTGCTTCATCCCCTGAGTCTCGTCAATCCATCCACATCCTCTTAATTATGCATGAGGACTCCTGATTCCTTTTAGTACAGTTCCCCTGTTTTTGTGTTCTTTTCTGTTTGCATTTCTTCAATCTGTGAAAATCCTTCTCCATGTCCCAAGTCTGACAGTGCTTTGCATTCAATTTGAAATAACTGATTCATTCCCAATTTCCTTCAGGAACCGACTTGTGGGAAGCTAACTTGCGCAATGGCGGCCAGCCACCTCCCCAAACCCAACAGAAGACTCCATGGGGACACACCCCTACGACCAACATTGGCGGCACTTGGGGGGAGGATGATGAAGTCAGTGACAGCTCCAACATGTGGACCGGAGTGCCTGCCAACCCAGGCCCTGGTGTTGGTCCAGGCGTGGGTCCTGGCCCACAGTGGAACACAGGTGGACCTGGAGGACCTGGACCTGGAGGCCCCGGTCCTGCGGGAGGCATGTGGGGAGGTAATTGTCACTCTGTTGTTTTTTTAATGTATTTTTTAAAATTGCGCTGTTGACTTTTGAAATTTGAGAGATTTAAACGGGTGTTACATTTTCAGGTCCCCCTAAAGATGACTGGAACCGTGGCAGCTCCAACTGGGGTGAGCCTCGCGGCGACCCCCGCGGCGGAGACCCGCGCATGGGCGGCATGGACGGCATGGGCGACCCTCGCGACATGAGGGGCGTCGGCGCCGGCATGGACCCTCGCGACATGAGAGGAAACGACCCGCGCGACATGAGGGGAGTGGACATGCGCGGTGACCCGATGCGCGGGCCCATGGACCCCATGCGCGATGGTTTGCGCGACCCGAGGTGAGTTCACTGGTACCAGGTGAAAAGGGCGTAAGTCCACGGACTTTCCATTGGACTTGCGCCCTTTTAACTTTTGACCAGTGAGATGACAGCGGTCAAATGTGTTTGCTGGAGGGCTTGCCCGTACGATTTTTTAAATTCATATCACGTCTCTTTTCCTCGCCAGGGATTTGAGGGGAATGGGAGACATGCGCGGTGGCGACCCGATGATGCGCGGCGACCCGAGAGGCATCAGCGGACGTTTGAATGGCGGTGTGAATGATCCGTCCATGTGGGGCCAGCCCCCGCAGCCGCCGCACCACAACATGCCGCTGCACCAGCAGTCTCAGCCGCCCCGCGTCGGGCCCGGCGTCGGCTCCGGAGGCAACTTCCCCGGAGGCGTCAACCAGTGGGCGGGCCCGCCGCCCAAGGACATGGGCATGCCAGGGGTGGGCTCCAAGCCTTCCGGCTGGGAGGAACCATCCCCGCCGGCTCAGCGCCGCAACATTCCCAACTATGACGACGGCACGTCGCTGTGGGGACAACAGCAGAACCGCGGCGGCGGCGGTGGTGGAGGCGGAGGCGGTGGCGGCGGCGGTGGTGGTGTTGGTAAGTTAGTGGGCAACCTCCTCGTTGACACAAGTTGCCTTCTGTACTGCATTCTGCTAACAACCTTCTTGCTTTTCAGGTGGAGGGAAAGTGTCTCACTGGAAGGACATGCCTGCACCAAACATGGGTCGATCCATGCAGGGTTGTCCTCCAGGTATGCCTCAGAACAGAATGCCCGGCAGTAATGCTGGCAACATGAAGCCTGATGGTCCCTTGTGGTCTCATCCAGGCCGCAATGGATCTTGGGATGGTCCTCATGATGGCGCTGCTGGCAATCCTTGGGTCGAAGATCCAAAGAGTGGTTTGGGTGGGATGAACAATTGGAATGAGCCTCCACTTACCCCATCATCCTGGGGTGGTCCCAAACCCAAGAATCCCATGAATCCTGGTGGTTGGATGGAAGGTGACATGGATGGATCATCATGGGGTCAGCCTCCCAAATCAGGTCCCAAACCTATGACGAAGGAAATGATTTGGACCAGCAAGCAGTTCCGCATGCTCACTGAGATGGGTTTCAAGAAAGATGATGTTGAGAATGCTTTGCGAGGATCGAACATGAATTTGGAAAACGCACTTGAAATGCTAAATGCCAGTGGCAGAATGAATATGGATGCTTGGCGCGGCCATGAGGATCATGGATTCGACATTGGTGGTAGCAATCATCCAGCAGGAGGCTCTGGTTCTGCATTTTCCGCACGTGGATTCCCTCACAGCGCTCCACCGATACCTTTTGCTCCGCCGGTAAGTTAAATCTCTATTTACGGTATTCTTCCTATCTTTGCCTTTTGGCAGCTTTCTGAGGTGGGTTTCTCTAGGATTGTCATTGGGAATTTAAAATCTAAGCTTGAAAATTTTTTGAACATCTGTGTCTTTGAACTGTTAATATTTTCGGAAATGCTCGATTTTTTTGACAAGCTTAGCTTGAATGAACCTAACTATTCTATAACTATTGTACTGGTAATTTGGGTTAAGTCTTATTTTTGAAGCTAGGCTGTTCCTCTTCCCTTTTAAAGTTAAGGTGGTGGCATTGTCATGAGATTCATGATTTGTTGCTTGTAGGGTGGTCCGGGTCTGAACAACCAGCCTAGTCTTATCAACATGAATAATGCCAATCCTAGTCTCACCAACATTAGTCCTGCATTGGTTCAGAAAATGTTGATGCAGCAGCCTCCGCCCCAGCAACCACCATCACAACAGAGTGCGCCATTCAATCAGTCGCAGCGCAACTCTCAAAATCAACCATCTGCTCAGCAACTACAGATGTTGGTTAAGCAAATCCAGATGGCTGTAGGAGCTGGATATTTGAACCAGCAAATTCTCAATCAGCCCTTGTCACCTCAAACTCTTCTTCTGCTCAATCAGTTGCTGCAGCAAATTAAGGTATTTAGGTCACATATACTTTATCTGAAGGCTATTAATGTAAAATTTGCATTTTGTATATCTAAAATGACTTTTGTTTTATAGGTTCTTCAAAACCTCACTCAACAGCATGCCGTGGCATCTACACAGAAGGGTAATCCAGCCATGCTGGCCATATCTGTTCAGCTTACTAAAACTAAACAACAAATCAGCAACTTGCAAAACCAGATTCAGGCTCAGCAGGCATTGTATGTAAAACATATGCCACAGCAGCCGCCTAATCAAGACTACTTCAAACCAAACATGCATGACCCTATGAATACCATGCCCAATTTTGCTGATCTCACAATCAGCAAAGAACCACAGGTAACCTATTCCACACTTTTCAACGTATTTAATGGGAAGTTTCATTCATCTGTTTCCATTAACATTTTATGATTATGTTTTCAAAGGTTATGAATGACCAGTCATTCCAAAGCCAGCAGTCGCGCCTCAACCAGTGGAAATTACCATCCCTAGACAAAGATACTGATGGTTTGGGTAATGAATTCAGCCGTGCTCCAGGCACCACCAGCAAAGCCCCTGGTCTGTCTCAGAGCCATTCATCTCCCAACATAAACCCTATCCTCAGTCAGGGTGATGGGTATGTATTCATTTCTATATGAAATATGTCGACCTCTGGACCTTAATAGGGAACTAACCATATGATTTTCCTCACAATAGACCATGGGCAAGTGTCAGCCGCTCCAACTCTGACACTGGTTGGCCAGACTCTGGCAGTATTGAAAGTGGCCAGCCAGATAAAGATTGGCCTATTACACCACAGTCCAATTCTTTCTCTGATTTGGTCCCAGAATTTGAGCCAGGAAAGCCATGGAAGGTAGGCGAACTCCATACCCTAAGCATGAGTTATTATGATTTGTTAACTAATTTACATGGGCTTCTATTGTTAACTATCTACTGTAAGAAATAGTGGAAAAGCAGATGTTAAAGACTATCACTAGTCAGCCCATCTTCTCTGTCTACAGTAAGATCTTATTTTCTTGCCCGGTGTTTCAGGGCAACCAGATGAAATCAATTGAAGACGATCCCAGCATTACACCAGGGTCAGTGGTTCGCTCACCACTGTCCCTAGCAGCCCTCAAAGAACCAGAAATGTTCTCTGCCGGAGGTGTCAGCAAAACATCACCTACTTCATCTGGAGCTGAAATTCTTCCACCTCTGAGTCTCTCATCATCAACTTGGAGCTACAATAATACTGCTTCTTCTACTGCCTCCTCCTTTGCCAGGTTAGTATTTCTGTTTAATAATATTTGAAGTATCAAATTATATTGTTTGATGCGTTTCCGTTGTGTATGTGGAGCGTGTGACAGGTGCTATTGGGTATCAGTTTCTATTGCTTCTGAGGACGTGGAGGTAACTTATGGGATTTCGCAGAGAGTAAATGCTAGCACTGGTCTTAAGCTCCTTATGAAGTCATGGCTGAACGTTCCCTTGCCAAATTCTTGGCATTTGATTTGTATGTTATCTGTAGAATGTACCAGATTTAGTTGAGCATTTTAAATGTTGGTTTTATTGTTTGTGATGGAAAATGAGGTTTTTATGTAGTGTTTACTAGACTCACACTTGGAAACTGGGTTATATGCTAAATGGGTTTTGGTAGGCTTAATTACTTATTTGCTGTCAATGCAGCGAAAGGAAAAGGTGGTATATTCATTTATAACAGGTGTCTTTTCAGTAGTTTGAGATAAGTTTCACCATTCACTGCTCAGCCATTCATAACTTTCATGCATGTCACTTCATCTTGAAAACACTTGGTTTTGAAGTGAATGCTTGTATTCTTCCTTTTGCAGTCTTTGCATTGTATCATGACTTCCTCTGCAGAATTGGGCCATAAAGTGCCCTTAGCTCTTTGTTTCATTTCATTTTTAGGGCCAGTGTGTGTCAATCTATTCAAACACAGATCCAAGACATTGTTTGTTTTTTCAATTGGGAAATTTAGGCTAAAAGTGAGACTGGTGTTCTGTGTTTGTAATGTAACCCGCACTGGCCCTGTATTACCTCACCTCACCTCATCTCATCCATACGTCTTCTTTAGATAACTCTATCACTCTTTCTCTGTGCGCCTCTCTAGAGCCAGGCCGGGCCGGGCGAAGGACCGGCGGGTGCATGCACCAGTAGGCGAGGTTTGCGCCGTGCTTGAACATTGCTCTCCCTCCTGTTGCAGCCCACTCAGCAAGCTGGCGTCGAAGGGCCCCTGGGGCGACGGGCCGGTGCCCACAGCCGTCACCTCTGAGCTGTGGGGCGCGCCGCAGAACAAGCCCCGCGGACCGCCACCGGGACTGAGCAGCAAGAACCCGAATGGCAACGGCGGCGGCAACGGTGGCGGCGCTGGGGGCGGTGGCGCTGGCGGGGCAGGTCAAGGCGGCGGCTCGGCGTCGAGCGGCAGCAGCACGAGCAGCAATGGTTGGGGCCGCGGAGGCGGCGCGGGCTCCGGCTCTGGCGGCGCATCGTCGTGGGGCATTCAGGGTGGCGCAGGTGCGACGCCCGGGGCGGGCACCACTGGAACTGCGGGCTGGGGCTCTACGTGGCTCCTCCTTAAGAATCTCACACCACAGGTCAGGCATTGTGAAGTGCAACTTCAGGCAAGGTGTTGCAAAGTTCTGTTCTGTGACAGGAAGGAATATTTTATGAACGACTGCCTGTCGTGAACTGGGGGTGTTGAGCTCCCTTTTCTTCTAATGTAAACTCGAGTCTAAATTGGATCTTTGGGTTTGACACTAACCAGGTCTTGTTGGCCTTTGGTGGGTGTGGGAGGCATAGTGCTGTTCGTTTTGGTTTTCACTTGTTCAAATCTGAGTCAATGTGAAATCCTCAGAGGACTGCAGGATGCTCTTTCAGAGGATTTCTCACCTCAGAGAATTCGTCTTACACTTCATGCCTTCAAACACTGTCTACAGTAGAGCCTCAGTCAGTCAAATTTCAATGACCTGTTAATTAACTTGGTTGTGGGCAATTTTCCCTTCCCTTTCCCCACCTATAGGTTGTTTTAAGTTGACGGTTTTTAACCATCAACTTGATACAGCTTGGTGTGTCAGGAGCGCGTACCGCCCTTCAGCTGCTTTCAAATTTCCTGCTTTTTATTTTATTCTTCAATTTTGTTTAAATTTCTTTCAATTTTTCTTTATCTTCAGTCTGATTAGAACTGTACCAGTTCATTTCCATACTTCAACAACTATAAATGTCATGCTAATATTTCAATATGATCTATCCACTATTCCTTTTATATGTAGTTGAGTATACAGACTGAAGGTTTTTTTTTATAAATTATTTGTTGTTTTGTTGTTTTTTGTAGTAACACAGTTTCTAATTTTTTCTTCATTTGAAACAAAGGCGTACGCTGGGTGATTTGGAAACCTTTCATTTAATTGTCACTTAGCACACTATTGATTGGTCGTTAGTATTTTCAACCAAACCCTTGTTTTAGCCATTCTCCTGACTTGAGAGGATAGTACAACAGCACATTGCTGACTCAGCTCTTTGAAGGCACTTATAACACACTCCCCGCGTACACCCTTGATTATGTTTTTTACTTTACTTTTCTGCATATTTTATATGTCCCTATTTTAGACTCTTTAGTTTATGCTGTTAAAAAAAAAAAAAAATTGCACAAATATTGTGTGCTTGCTGAACACAATGTTATACTGTTTTTATTAAGCTTCACATGTGTTATCATATTTATTCAACTTGCGAAGGTTTTAGGCAAAGCCAATTCGAGTTACTCTTAAGGTCCTATGTACCTAGTTCTTAAATTCAGAGAAACTTAATTTACCTAATCTTGCATTTCTATTTGTTCAGCTACATTAATCGCTAGTTTTTTGTCTTGGCTCAATATTCCCTTTTTTTAATTCTTTTTTTTTTCTTTACTTTCTTTTTTTTTCTTTTTTTTTAAACTTGGTTTTTCCCCCTTTTTGTAGTTTTTATTTTATCTAAATAATCTCTTAACTTTCTGCTCTGGTTCAAATTTCAGATTGACGGGTCCACTCTGAAGACGCTATGCCTTCAGCATGGGCCTCTTCAGAGCTTTCATTTGTACCTGAACCATGGTATTGCACTCGCCAAATACCAGAGCCGTGAAGAGGCTAATAAGGTCAGTTTGCTTTCAGCTTGATTTCTCTTAACTTCATCTAGCCTCAAAAATGTTTCTCTTTCTTATGCTTTACAACTTTGCTTTGTTTACATAATAGGCCCAAGCGGCACTTAACAACTGCGTCCTAAGCAACACAACGATATTTGCTGAGTCTCCAGCTGAAAGTGAAGTCCACAACCTTCTATCTCATCTTGGTGGGCATAATACATCTCAACAGCAACAGAGTGGTGGTTCTGCCCCCAATTGGGGGATGCGCTCCTCTAGTGGAGGGGCTGGGGCCAACTCGGGAGCTCCTCCTGCTCCTGGGAAGGCCCCTCAGTCCTCACAGGTATGCCATTTCATCTCACCTTTATATATTTTCAAGTGTAAGAGCTCCACTTACTTGAATTTTTTTGCAGGACACATGGGGATCTAGTGGAGGTAGTAACAGTAGCCAATTATGGTCAAGCCCTCCAACAAGTAGTGTGCTGTGGGGATCTTCGCCCATGGACTCAAGTGGCGACCAGCATCGTGCTACTCCCTCTGCTTTCCTTCCTGGTGACCTACTGGGAGGGGAGTCTATGTGAGGTGAGAAAGTCCCACATTATCCATCGCAGTTTCTGTAATGTAAGGCATTGTACAATCACTGACTGACATATCTCAATTGAAAGCGATTCCTGTGGTTTATGGTCTTCTAGAAAATAAAGTTGACCAAAGGATAAGAAGCCTGTTCTCAAAACCAGTCAGTGCTTTCATTGACATAACTGAAAGCAGTTACCTAAATTTAAGGCTCAGAGAATTAATCTAAGTGTTGTTTACAATGATTTATCATGTTTAGTATCCCCTGGCTCTACCTGTGATCTCAACTACCTTAATCAAACGGCTGCTTTTTCCCTGTTGTTGTTTATTAATCTGATTATTAATTGTAGAAGGGAAACTCTCCAAAAAAAGAAAAAAAAACAACATATTTTTTAAAAAAACGAGAGTTTCTTTTTATGCAAACAGACTGCACGCCCAAGTATATTTAACTGTTTACCTTTCCATTGTTATGATTTATGTTTTGTTCACCTTCCAAGTTTCACAGAGAGCCGGCCATTTTGAGTCTCATATAAACCTAAAATGGCTGTACAAATCGTCAACCTTTTGTATTCACAACCATGTGCTGTGACGTTCATGTGTCGTTTTTGTCTTAGATGTGTGATGAAATTGCTTTTGTAGTCCATTTCTCTCTCAAGTTATTAATGTAGTCAAGTCTTTAATTGGTGCAACAAAATCACAAATCATCACATCAATGCTTCTTTAAAGTGGCATTGACCTTTCTAAGTTTTATTATTTTATTATAAATTATATGTGTAATGTGTATCAGGGTTGGAACCCTACAGAGGCTCCACATTCAAAGATTACTCTAAGTACTTGCATTAGCTAATTGATGATTTCATGTGTATATGTTTTGAAATGCCAACTGTAGTGCTTAGTTGATGTGACCGATCTAAGTTTACTGAGTAGTGAAATTATGAGATTTGAATTTGTGGTAAATGGAATGTGCTTTACTGTTGTTTCCTCTCTGCCAATACTTGTACCAAATATTATATTAAACAGGAAACATGTTTTACCTAATTTCTAAGGGTACGATAATGTCAATAGTAAGTAAGATTTTAATTTAGAAGTAAAGGAAATTATACGATAAAGATATGGGGGAAGAGAAGTAACAATTAACAAAATGAGCATTCTCCCCAAGTGTAGACTAATGTCTTGGGACTCAACAAATTGTGACTTAGGTCACATCGCTTCTTGAATGTGATATAGCAACTATAATGGACCTGTGAAATAAACAAACCCTTGTCAATTGTGACTTACTTGAGTGAGTGTGAAGAGTTGAACAGAGAGAGAGAAATTCAATGAATACGTACACACATCCTGTTTGGCTGTTGTCTTTAATATATTGAAGATCATAGAGATATATAAATATATATATATTATATTATATTCATGAAACATATAATTAACTAATATGCCTAGATTCCTAGAACTGATGTTTTATTAAAGTACAAGTGTTCAAGTCATGTGTTTTTCCTCGTAGTGAAAAACATACCAGCATTTTGCTTGATGATTTCATGTGTTAAGAGGTTGTATGGTGTCTTGCTGGAGACTACCAAGACCATCTATGCCTTTTCAAAAGTAATACATAAAGCATATTTGTTTGTGTTCTGTGTTTAGTGCTTTCTGGTATTACCTCTGTGACCAAAAGAATGTTATGGTCTTGTGATGCAATTTCTATTAATCTATCAGATTCAAAAGTAGAGTTATGATATTTTGCGTGTGAATGTGGCTATTGAAACTCTTCAGTTAACTGTGAAGCTCAGCTTTAGTAGAATTGATGTTAAATTTGTTAAGAGCTACTCTTAAAGAAATCTTGCACAAATGAAGTTGGACTAGTTGATATGGGTTACTGTCCGTCACCTGTGAAAGCATGAATTTGAGGCATGTACCATTTCTTAGTATTTTATATCCCAACAGTATTTTGTGATGTCAGTGCCACCTTGTTGAAGTTAATACATGTCAGAATATTAATTGATTTGTGTGCTTTAATAATATTATTGAATGTAGTTATAATAAGCTCGTTCATTGACATTGGAAATGTTAGTGTTACTTCTTCATGGTAAATCATAAAATTTAATTTTGATGAATTACATGAGCCATATCAATTATATGAGAACTAGTTTCCTGAATACTGCTTGTTTTAAAGTATATCTTGTGACTTCAAAAGTGAGATGGTCTGTTATAACAAGTCTGCCAAAATGTGTTTTCTTTCTTTTTTTATTATTATTTTGTAATAATAGATTTTTTTAATAATTGAAATTGACTCTCTAATACTTTTGATAGCAGTAGTGTACATAGATTGGTAGTTGGTTTTAACTAATAACAAGAGCAAACGCCAAAATTTGACCAAGTATTTTCTTTATTTTATTGTTTTGTTTTACTGTGCATTACATTGATGGTTAAGAAAAACAAGCTTGGTGCATAGTTGTAAGAATTGGCACTGATATTTTTCTTCCAGTGATCTTACATGTGAAGATATGTGTATTACTTCGTAGGTACAAAATTACTATTGAACACGCCTGTATGTTACTTGTTCAGAAGCTCTGTATGTATTAGTGCATTTTCATGTTGTGTGCATCAACCAGCATTGCAGGAATCTGGCTTAAGTCACCTAGTATTTTGCCAATACTTAATTGTATTTTTACCTATGAATGAAGTTGTCAATGTCTATAAAATCCACCAACCGTGCTAAAACAAAAAATGGAAAAAAAAAAGATTAAAAGACACTGAAAAGACAAGTCTCCGAGAATCAGTACTGATAGCTGCAATGCTCTCTGAGAGATTCTTCAATACTCTTCAGGCCTGCCTGCCCTGTTGGTTCAATTTTGCCCAGCTGGTTTCTGATATGTTAGGTTGGGTTTCTGGGTTCTCTTATGCACCTAATATCACTGGGTAAATTAAATGTTTGTAAATATTTGGTTGAATGTAAATTCCTCCTAGCCGTTAAGTGTTACTTAAGATAAAGGGTTTTAGTGTTCCATTTATTTGATGTGTGTTAATGAATTTTCAGATGTGCAGGTTAACATGTCAGCCACCATTTGTGATAGCAAATTAAGTTGATGTGTTGAACACTGTTCAAGGAGCGCCTTCCTATAATAGAGCATTGATACTTAGTTGTAAGCAAGATTTTTAAAACTGTTTGCTTGATATTAACAAAAGACTTAGGGGGTCATGCAAATGCAAAACTGGAACTTGTGCCATGTGGTCTCTAGTGTGACCTGAAACTTAAAATATAAATTTAAAGCACTCTTTCATCCAGATTGTTTTCCTGCTTATGCTTAGATAACTAGGTATCCAGTTCCATCTCATTTGACCCCCTCCCCTTTCTCCAATATATTCTTGTGACAGAAAAGCCATTGTACTTGTAGATGTAGATTTTAGATTACCAGTACAAGTTAGGGTTGATATGGGAAAGATCAGGATTAAAGCACTAGTTAGTATAAATGGAATGTCTGGTATAGTTTGAATTGTTTTGTTTTTCTGTTATGTTTTCAAAGCATGTTTGTGTCTTGTTGACTGGTGTGCTTTTGTTACCAGACTCCCTTTAATGTTAGTTAATTTAATAAGCTCCAGGTTCTTCAGATCTACTTACTCCTTCCGTCTGCCAGAGGATAGGTGTACTGCACTGGTTAGACACTCCTGAGAAATGTGCCTGACTGACACACTACTAGTCTCCTAGCTGTTAAATCAGTAATTCTTAAAATTATCTAAGGTTTACAAATTTGTTTTATACTGGCATTTTTAATACAATCATGGGTATACTTAAAGAAAATGCACAAGTCTTTTATCAATAATATTGACTTTTCTATATTTTTATTTCCAACTTTTTCTTTTTCCCTTGTTTTTTTTTTTTTTTTTGGTAGACAGTTTGGTTATGGTTGCGTTTGAATGACATTTGGACCCAGCAACATGAAGAACATGTTCATAAATGTGTTCATTGTTGCTTGTGATACTGTGACTTGTCTGAGAGGACTACTGCAACTTTTGAGTGGTTATTTTGTGTTTTCATGTCACTATTTAATACCAATTATTATCATTGGATGTTCGTTTATTTTGTAATAAATTTAAAGAAAATAGTTCTGTAATCCCATTTTTTTCTAAATGATCCTTTTCCCGCCTAAAGGCCTATTAGGCTTATGAGTCCTATCATGTGGATTTCACTTGACATTCCGACCAGCTAAACCAATCAATATTTGTACCTGATTTGTGTCACTTAAGCCAACGGTCCTAAACTAGGCGGGAAGTAGAGTTCTTTGTATTCATTGAGCAATACTAAGTTTCTTTTCAAGCAGTGAAGTAACCACTCAGACTTATCTTACATTTTTGTTCCTGATCCATTTGTCAATTGATTATCAATTGATTACTTTGGCCTATGTATTGAATAGTCATGTTAAATTATACCATGAAGGAAATATGGCACCCAGTATCATTTATTTTTGTGCAAGTTCTTGGTTGTTTGTATTAGCCTCTGCTTGCTGATGTGTTTATTGGGTGGTGATTGTTGATTACTTGCTGATAATATCCTTTAGCTTTATATCCCCTGTATCATGACTGTGTGAAAGTTACACATATCCATGCCATAAGTAAACTTTTCTGAGCCCCCCCCCCTCCCCCGCAAGCAAAAAAAAAAAAAGAACAATCAGCAAGTAGAAGACTAAAACTTTTAAAGAAAGAAAGACTTTTCCAAGGATTTCTCAAGTAGAGAAATGCTTGAAAATGGTAGAAATCATTAGTCAAAATTTTTGTTTAGCGTAGTCTCAGACTTTCCCAGTATCAACTTCTCCAATGCAATTTTCCAAAACCATTTTCTGGTTTGTTTCATTATTATTTTATGAAAGTAAGCTCTGTTACAACCTTCTATATCATTGGCATGGCATTGAGTCATAATTCAGTCTTAACTCCTCCTTTGTCACCACAGTCACTCAGTTATTTCCTTCATGATAATAAAAATATTTTGGCAGTCACCTTGCACTTCCCTACAGTTACTATCCAGTCAGGCATAGCATTGATATTTCAAAGCTCTCGAAACCTTTGAAAAATGACTTCGTTAGCCAATGTCTGCTGTATTGATGCATTGTCTTGACTACTCGTTGACCAGGTTATAACTGTAGTTGGAGTGCTCTGTAGATGTTTGCTCTGTTGAGTCCAGTGTCTCACCTCCATGTCGTAAAGAAAGGCACAAATTGAATGAGCACAATAATTCAACCCTCAATCTGTAAGGATCATTTATGTGGTAAACCACATTCCTATTACTTATACAGTATCTAATTGTTGAAAAATTTGTGTTGTCTCGCTTTTGACATGAAATTTATATAAAAGTTAGTATGACACTCTTCTGGCCATGGTATACCTCTTATTTTTAGTCTCCTTTTTAATTCGATTACTTTACCATGAGAAATTTTTCGTCAGCTCAATTTCCCCATATTATGTGAATATATGAATTTTTAAATGAAATACTTCTGTGGATTAACAACCAACTCATAGGATCCGGACACCTTTTCTGTTTTTAAGAGAACAGCAAAGGAACCCTAAAATACCCATATCACTTCTTGTGCTTACCAATATTTCAAAATTTTATCAGTAGTGCAAGTGCTTGTGACATAATGCTGGTGAAATGTTGAAAACATAATTGAATTTAATTGTCCTGTTGTCTAATTTGTAATAGTAAATTCTAGAAAGATACTTTGGACCATCCAAATTGAATATGTCTGTTCAAATAATCACATCCAATGAGATGCATAGAGTCATCAACCAAAAGACACTCGGTTGTTGGTAGGAATGGAAGTTGTAAGGAGGAGTTGTCAAGGAAAGTTGCTGAAGTCATTATATCAGCCTTATTATTCATTTCTTATGACATGTTACCACATGAAATATCCCCTCCATTAATTTTATGGTTGTGAGTTGTTGTAATGGCACTTCCTAGTTTAGTGTGTTTAGTGAGAGTTGTAGCTTTCGATCTTAATTTTATTTAGAATGCTTTTTTATTATACAGCTTTACAAAAGTTAAGTGTGACAAAAAAATGTACTCATGTGATGAATGTGTTTGTTACTGTTAGGCAATCATGGGGGATATTCAGTCAAGAGGTCTGATTTCTGTTGTCCTTCTTTGTGAAGTGCCTTTTTTGAAGTCCTTAATGTGATTTCTTAAAGACCTTTTATTTTCTTAGTCAAATGAAAATGTGCAATTTATGTTCATGCTGAAACTTAAGGAAAATTGTTTAAACAGTTAGCTAAATGGCAAAGTTTGACAATCTGTATTAAGTCAACTGCCAGTGTTGTTTCTCAGGTGATGGTGTGAAGATTGTAAATAATTGTTGGGGCTTTGGATTGAGGGGATAGTAGGGTTTCCAGCCCTGGAAGACTACTTTTTGCTTATTCTTTTAAGATATTCCAGCTGGGTTTCTTTAACCCAGATATGCTTTGTGCATCAGCTCATTCTTTGAAATGTAAGAATTCCTACTTGAATGAAATGTGTACTCATTTAGTGAGCTTTCATTTTTAATTTATTTTTGTCAGTAGTCTTGCAATCCGCTTCCTTGTGAGTTCTATATGTTATGGCTGAGGGGGTTTGCTGAACACTGAATGGTGAAAGAAAACTTGTTACTATAGAAGCTCATAGTGAAGCAGTGATATTCTTAACGCAGTGTTGAACTTATGCAGAGACTAAAAATTTTTGTATTTATGGTCTATTTTGATGTTAACAATCTTTTTATGTCTAATGTTTTGTGTATTTTTGAACAATTTGCTGTGGAATTCTGTTAGATCTAACTCAGGACACTCACTTTCTTTCCAATGGGAGAGCAACTTTCAGAGACAGGGTTCTTCAACCATGTTATTGACATAACCATTATTTGTCCATATCGAGAAATCTATACTTGTGGAACACACATTTTGATTTTGATTTGCTCAAAAAGTTCATGTTAATTAATTTAGGCATTGGTCCTCTACACAGCATTTTCTATGGTCCTATGATACATCTGCAGTTAATGCAGCGTACCATAAACAAATGGTGATACATAAGGTGAATAGAAGCAAGGTTAGTGTTATTTGTAGGGAAAGATCTCGTCTATTGAAATACGATCTGCCATGTTAATAGTCATGAACCAATTTCCTCTATTGTAATTGTGAAATAAGCAGAAGACTGGAAATTTCGTTAACCATAATATCCAGGTACAAAAGAAACCTGTAAACAGTGGGTACCTTCACTAATTTTCACTTATATCTAAAAGAAAAGTAAATCCTTTATTTTAACCACTGTATCAAATATGCAGAGCTTACTTTACCTTATTTTCAATATAACAATCAAGTGTAGGGCTCAAGCGAGCTTACAACCTGGTCAGCAGTGGAAAATTGCTCTCCAATTTGTCAAAATATGTGCCTTTTTTTATTAAAACTAAAAACAGTTGTCTAAGTGAAACTTATGGATGTAAACATTGCTTTTAATGCTGAGTGTATCAAACACAATGTGTGATAAAAGGCATTCAGATTTATATATTACTGTTCAAATAAGGATAAATTCTTGCACCTAGTCCAAGCTTTTTCATTTCTTCTATTTGTGTATCTACTAATTGTGATTTATTATCCTACCTGTGCCTGTGCCTGTATTGTCCATGTCTTTTTCTGTGCATCAGTCATGAAAAGGACTGTATTGTATGATGCATGGCTTGTGGGGCCTAGAATTACTGAGCAGTTTAGGGATTATTTTGATAGAATTGTGCTGAATCGTTATGAAGTTTGTGCAGCATGGAAGTAATTCCTTACCCTCCTTTTTGTATTTGAATACTTCAACTCCATAACCATTACAAAATTTTCAAAGGTGTTTGCTGGAAGGATTTCTAATAACATATGAACAAAATTTTTACTATTACGGCAAAATTTTAAGAGACAATAAAATATTTTACATAAACTAAATTTTCAAATTTATCATAATTAGTAATCTCATGTTATCACTGACGCATCTCTATTACTTACTGGCTGACTGCTCGTAATTCCTGCATCACAATGTTCTTGGTTCTCTAGGTGGTTGGTTCCCGAAATGTAACCAGCTTGTACTCATGTTGCACAATGGACTGAAGCACAGATTAGACTGTATTTGTATTTTCCCTGCACTCAATATGTTGTAAGATGTTACAAATGGAAGCTCTTAGTCACTTTCCAATTCCATTTATCAGTCATGACAAAGTAAAAAGTACCCTTGATCAGTATTTATCTGTGTATGCTGAAGATTTTAGTCCAAAATGAATTTAATTTTGTATAATAGATATTTGTTCAACATGTGTTGTTGGCTTTCCATACAACCGAAATCAGCCCCTATTTTCTGCCATTTTGGTGCTGTGGATTTTGACTATTTTACTGTATTCCATTTCTTGTGTTCCTGCCAAGTTCAAATGTTGGAATGTTGCACATATATTACATACTACTTAATGCTTGCTATGAATGAAATTTCATAATGTGCTTGCTGTGAATGAAATGTTGCATTGTGTATCATCTTGGTCTTAAATAAAATAAAGCTTAAGAAGTAAACTCTATTATAGTTCCTGCTCTACTCTTTAATGAGTGGCAACCTTGAATCATGTGTGAGAAAATTTGTGCCTGAAGTAATCCAGGCTTTGTACGAGACAACAGTTAGCACACTTAAAAAGAGTTCGAATGCAAGATGGATGTCCTTGAACTAATGATCTGAAGACATTCAAGACATTTGATGAATCACTGAGTAACAATGGTTATTGAATGAATCTCTTAAGAGAAAGTGCTCATACCTGAAACGAATGAAACCAGTCCCAAAGTTGTTGAAGTCTGAGTTACTACAGTAAATCATACATGAGCAGATAAAGCAATGTTTTCACTGAGAACAAATCATCCAAAGGAGTGTCAAAACTATATCAGAATGAATGCACCACTTATTGTGTTTTGCATTTGTCCAGGGGTCTTTAGCTCTTCATATAATACTGACTGCACATATACCTATATCATAGTGTCAGGAATCAATTTGTTTAGAGGAAACCAGTGCCAAATTTCAAAGTCACTAATTTCATCTGAACATGTTCTGCTTTCTAATACAGATTATTAAACACTTTGTAGCATTGTTTACTATCTCATACAGTGTCAGACTCTAGATTGCAAACTATAGAACTTTGTGTGTTAGTAGAATATTTAAGCATTTGCTCACAATATTTGTCTTCTGTGTGATACATTTTAAAGTGAACTTTAATTGTAAATGGTGTAGTGTTTCTGATATCCCAATATTATTTGTTTTTTTGTTTTTTTTTTACATGGGTGTACTGCTTGATTTAATTCTTTAGTAGTACAAACATGCTTCAATTCTAAAGATTAATAACAGTAAATATCAAAATAGTGTTGGTATTGTGGAATTGTCTTTGTTGATTTTATAAATATAACTATATTCAGCAAATATGAGCTTTTTTCATGCATGTACTAATGTAATCGAGTCTTACTTAGAATTTCTACTAAGGTTTCAAGTTTGTTATGTATAATTATTAAAAGAAAAAAAACGAACCATGTAAGATTCCATTTGTTATACCCATGTATGTTCTTTGCATAATTTCAAACTGTGTTCTACTTGTAAAACTTAGTTTTAAATATGCTGGTCGTGATAATGCTTGATCGGTTCACTTTCATCAATACAATTTGGGTTGGTTCTTTGCATCCTGAATGTGTTGAATTTTCTACTATCTTTTTCTCTCTCTCTTTTCTCTCTATAAACCTATAGAGTAGAGATGTAAAGATGGTTAGGGTAACCTTGTGATCTGGATGCTGTCATTAATGAGGGAAGAGGTTGCTGGTTAACTGGCTGGCTCAAATTATGCATTATTAAGTCATAAGCATGAGAATGGATTTCAACGCAAGACTTAGTGGCATTGCATTGCTCTCAACTTGTGATTTTGTCTATAGACTGGAGCTTAAATTAAAGTACAATATTTTTGAAATAAATGAAGGAAAACAAGATAATTGAGTTGAAATAACAGAACATCACACTATTTTGAATCCACTTTGTGTTCCATTTGTAGTTCATGGAAACAACTATTTAAAAAAAAACGCACCAAGAGTGCTAATGAATGGTTGAGCTTAGGAAGTTTACTAATCACCATTTACTAGGTCCACCAGGTACACAATATGGTTACTGTAAGGCTTGGGTCTTGGCTAAGAGGATGGTGTCATCATTTCCATGGCAGAAAGGTCAATATGTAAATGTTTTTTTCTTTTCCTTGGAGGGACTTTGGTTGAAATATTTTGCTGCATGCTTCTTGGCACTTTTCTTAAGTATTCTTCTAAGCTATTTTTATTTTTTGTCTGATTTCTAGTTGTGTGTTTAAACTGTTATTATTATTGAAATGAGAACTGAACTTTGATTGAAATTTGTTTTTGACTGTTTGGTACTAGTCTGGGAAGTACAACGTTGACTTATTTTCACATGATATCCTGTCTTCACCGCTGAAAGCTAATTGACTGGCCAAAGCCAATGAACCGTTATTCTCGTACAATGAAATATTTAAAAAACTTAAACATCTGTGACACTGAATATAAGATTTGATTTTATTGGTTAATAGACTCATTTAATTTTCATTCAACTTGACATTCTTGTCACGAATCACTGATGTGAATATTGTTTAGCACACTTCAACCAGTGTGTCTCTTAAATTATTCCCATTTTTTAGAACTGTAGTGATTCTTATGAGTGTTTGGTTTTCATATCTTTGTTTATTTTTGTGGATTATTGAGCAATCAGTGCGACAAGTATTGATAAGGATATGGTAAAGTTTCCCTCTGCAATACCAAATTAATGTTGGGGGACCACTGTGATGTGATCAAAAATGGAACTATCATTAATTAGATGATTGGCAAAGTGGGTTCTGTTATTTTTTTTCGAATGTTGTTGCTTCATTAGAAATATTTGTTATAAACACAGTCATGGTTATCTACCTTAGCCTATGGTGTTCTTTTGTTCGTTTTTTTTGGTGTTTTAAGATTTTGTGTAATGAATGTTCTAGAAAATGCCAGTGACTTTTGAAGGATTTGATTTGTTAATATATTAATATATGTTGAACCATGTGATGTATAGTAATATATTAATTTATCAGTTTATATTATTGTACCATCCTTAAGTGTAAGACCAGTATGCATTCAATAAAGGTTGTCCTCATAAATCATTTTCAATTCTTTGAATCCTTCCTATTTGGCTTGAAAAGTTGGGGCTGAAATAATGTTAACAAAGTTCATAGAAAAAACTTTATATTGTTCAAAAATTTCAAGTGGTACAATTTTTGGACACTTAACGAAATGATGATAAAATATAATCTCAAACATTTGGAATATATCACAGATATGGGAATGGACCTGATACTTTTACCTAATTACAATTTATGACAGTAGAGTTATGATCCCACTGTCAGCACCTAAAAGAAGAAGACGATTCAAGGGGAGAACAGCCATGGTTGTAAGAACCCCTTTAAAAGTATCTGATCGGAGCCGAGTTGATGAAAATGATGCAGCTGAGTCAATTGCTGTGTGAACACCAATCCTATTGGCTGTGGTTCCAGATATTAGCTCAGAGCAGTATGCACCAAGACAATGCACAGGCTCAGTTGGTCCTCTGTAATAGAGTTCAAAGTGGAAGTCCTACGGAAGATATAGAATGCCCTGCTAAATCTCAAAGTAGGTGATCTTACCTCAGATGAAATCTCAGTTTACCATCAATAGCATTCCATACAGAAACTGTTTGGTCCAAGGAAGAGCTAACTAATGTAGTGTCATTTACTGCAACCAACTGAAGTACCTTTCAAACAATACATAAGTATGTGGTGAAAAAGAAAATGAGTGTATAGTGAAACAATACATGAATCTATGGTACATAAAAACTTATTTTAATTCTTCAAAATATTGGATGCAATGCTTACTTCTCCTTCATGCCCTTTCCATGATGCAATGATAAGGCCTGTACGTATGTCAAGTATAGTGAGGAATCCGGATGATTGGCCAACAGCTGCCCAGAAACCACTTGGACCAATAGCCATGCACCTGACAAGGCCAACAGGGGTCAAAGATACCTGATAATTTAAAACCAGGGTTGATATTACAAAATAATAAACTAAATCAAAATAACCCTGTTGAAGGCCCCTACCTTTAATTGGTTCACATAAAGAGATAAACGGGCGTCTAAAAGACGCAAAGTAGAATCTGTAGTGGCAGCTAAAATGGCAGGAGATGGAGCTGGTAAAGCTCGCAAAACATTGATTGGAGGTGGACTACGCGTAGTGGTGGACCCTCCAAGCAGTTCTCCAGGCTGATTGCAAACCACTTTGCCATACCATGGGTCCCACAGTTGCACAACAGAATCACATGATGCCACTAGTCTCAATGATTCAATGAATGTCAGAGAAATAATTGATTTCCTATGTCCTGAGAAATTCCACTGACATTGAGAGACTGTACTACCATCACCCTAAGTAAGGGGGAGGGGAAAAATATTATGAGAAATTAAACAGCAAGTGTAAAATAGAAGCATCGAATAATAGATAGATAAAATCAATTCAGCAAACCTGACTTCTGAGAGACCATAACTTCACAGTTTTGTCTCGGCTTCCGCTTAAAAAGCTGTTTTCATTACCCAAAGCAACAATACTTCGAACAGCATTTGTATGCCCAGTAAAAGTTTGTAGTTTAATTTGTTTGAAATTGAATCTGCAATCTTTCTCTGCCCTGCCAATTTCATGCTCCCAATAAGCAAGCCAATTTCCTCTGAGATGTCTAAGAACAAAACAAAAAAGGAATAAGGCAGCCGTCTGAAAAGTTAGTTGCTTGTGAACAGGAAGAAATCCATAATTCATTAGATTACTAAAATGTTTCAATATGTCTTCCTAGCCAATATTACCTGGTCGAGCTGGTTTCCACACGCAGGTGAGCTTGAGCCATGGCTTCATGTTGCACCTGTTCGATACTTGAGCCACCACTCTGTATATCTGGACGCTGGATGAACATATCCACAAATTTTTAATAATTCCTTCATTAATAAAAATGCAATTTAGATTAGAGTTTGTAACAACTGGTTCTCTCTTTACCTGTAACTCAATGCGATTTCCAATTAAGGCAACATTGGTCCCAAAACTTCCAGACCCTGCTCTATCCATGTCTAAAGGAGTAGGGGGAGACAAGTAATCTGATAGGTAAAACATGTCATCTGGCACTGTAAAGCAGAAAAGGCAAGTTTTAAAAATTTTGGACGCATGGAGAGAGAAAAAAATTGATTGTGAATAATATCTTTAGTGAAACTTACCTCCACTGGGAGCTGCATGCTGCATCTCTTGCTCATATTCAAAGCAAAGGTCTTGAATCAATAGATGATTTTTAAGGGCTTGTTCCACAACTGGCTCCCCCAAGAATCTGAAAAATGGTATGTAGACTAGATGAGCAAGTTGTGGGCTGAATACTAAACAAAGCTCATCCTGTGCCTGTTTTCTGATGGGGTCAGAATCTAAAGCGTCAGAGCTGCCTTCCGCCTCTGGATGAGGCTTTCGAGCAGGTTGTGGAGGAGAGTATGAATCAGCTGATTCACTATCACACATTCTTGATCGACTTCTAACATGAGTTATCTGCACTGAAGCACCACGTCGAACAGCCCATTCTGTAATGGTTCCATCGCGTCTGATCTCTAAATAACTAGATTCTTCGAGTGATCTGAAACCAAGACAATATTAGAAGGTGAACTTCTTTCCTATTTGGTATCCGTAAATCTCTACCTACCTGAGTGGGCTCACAGTATCCCTCTGGGCAACACTCTCTATAAGAGGTCCGTCTCCTGATGTATAAGAGTTGGGTGTTGCTGAGAGAGTCAGAGCGTTTGCACGATCTAGATGGGCTTTACTAAATGTTAAGAAAAATCGTTGCAAAGCAGGTACAGCAAGATGGCGGTGAGTCATTTCTCTTCCAAGCCGCAATGAAAGTAAGTAAAGAGCATCACAGAATTTTGTTGTTACTGCCATACGAGCCACCCATCCAGATGGATATGCCATTCTTGTAGTTGACAGTAATCGAACTGCAGGATGGAGGATTGTCTTCAGAATTACATCCTACAACAAGAGACAGGACTTATTAGAACAAAATACCGTGACAACTACAGGGCAGCATTAATTTAGTTTATTAACTTGCCTGTAATTGGTCCATCAGAGTATTGTCAGTCATGAAAGGGATGATATGACGCAAAAGAGCAAGACACCCAACTAATCCTGCCTCAAGGTTAAGAGTTAGTTTTCTTCTGCAATGAGCTATTAGTTCACCCATGTGAGGAAGATATTGCAGTACAATTAACTGTTCTCCATAAAGTGCTGCAGACAATACAACATTATTTTGAAATACAAATAAGTTGAAGAAGGGGTTTTCCCAAGATAGATAGATAGATATTTTTGATTTTAAGTAATCAATCAAATCAACCAACAATATACTGCATATACCTGATATTGTTGATAGGCAATGAAGAACATTAGCAGCATTATGGTCACCAATAACATTCCAACCTATGATCTGAAGGTTATCTGGTGATGGGAAAGGAACACCAGGTGAGGACACTGGCTGCAGATTCTCTGATCTTAAGTAACACAGAGTAAGCATTCGTAATAAATTACGAGAAAGATAACGAGCTGACAAAACTGGACCCAATCTGTGTGCAAGCCACACTAGAGAGTCGGTGCTCACATCGCTGACCTGATGACAAAGAAAAATTGAAACTAAATGCAATTTTTTTTCTCTTCAACACCTATTTGTCAAAAGAGAAAATTAAAAATGTTCTTATTACCTTGAAGTCTTTGTCAAGCTTCAAAACAGACGAGCTACCAGATATTTCATTTTGGCATTCATCATCAGATTGCACAACAGATGCATGAGAAAGATTGCCATCAAAACCATCATTGTTTATTTTTAGATCTTCACCATCACTTGAAAGCATTCCTGTATCATAGCTGGTCTCACTGTTCCCTGGAATCGGTATTGTTGGAGACTTCGGACCAGCATTAGTATCTAGGAATTGGAGCAAAGAAAAAAATATTAGCACAGTATTGGAAAAAGATAGGCTTTTTCTATTGAATAAATTGTCCCATAACATATAAACTTACCATATACGTTTGCCTGAACCAAGGGCATATCTTCATAGTCATCACCATCATCTGGATGCAAATCTAATTGATGCATCAGACGATCAAGAGGGGCAGGATCTTCATCTGTGTCAAGAACAAACATTTCTGGCTCCACCTCAGTTTCTATGCCATTTCCACCTAGGTCAGCAGATGTGGATCTTCGAGGATTTTCAGTTTCATTCTCTCCCCCAGATAGATCATCATCCATGGGTGAAAGGAAACCAGCTGAATTTAACGACTTTCCAGCTGATGAATCTTGGTGCACTGTATCAACACCTTCCAATAACGAGGGTTCATTCAGCCCACACGATCTGTGCAAATACAATATACATGTGTATCTAACATGATCTAATACAGGTCTATTTACACACATATATCTAGAGCCTTTTAAAGCATTTCTGATGTATGTATCTGAACTTACTTTAAATTAGTAGAAGCTGATGTGTTTTGCCTCCGCAAACGAGTTCCCTTATCATTAAATGTAGAGTTAGATTTTCGTGAAGACTCATGGTATCCACCAACAGCTTCTACTAAGGGTGTGACAAAATTATCAAGGAATGCTTTTAATCCAAAACGAACAATCAAACGCAGTAAAAATGTTCTATGAAAGAGCTTAGCTTGTTTCATATTCCTATTCACAATCCTCTCACTATCAACATTTCCACCATTGTCTTTAATAGCTTCATCCCCAACTCGAAACTCACTGTATAATTTTACAATGGTTTCCAGCAAGTGGCCACAAGTTGCAGATGGCCCCAGAGCTCTGATGGAACAAAGGTAAATTTTAACAAGTTAACAAACATTTTTAAAAAATATTAGAATAAACCTGACATTTGAATGGAGAGAGAGGTAAGTCACTTACTGAGCAATGGGATCAAAAAGATACCATGTGGCAAGGACGGCAGAGTTTGGGTCTTCCATTAACTGTCTAATGTGGGGAAGTAACAGGGGGACTAAAGATGTGTCCAGTTGTGGGAGTACCAAAGTTAAATCATGAGCTACAGTTTTCACCCAACATTCCCTGAGCTAAAAAAAAATAAATTAAAATAAAAAAATTAAATTAAAATATAAAGCTTGAAAGTTCTTAAAAAACAAGGCTTAACTCATAAAATTAAAAAAGACCTTTTCGGTTAGAATGTACTTTTCGTCCTCTTGACCCTCCGCATTTTCTGATCGCCAACATAGTTCCCGTGAAAGGGATGAATAATCTTGGGATTTTCTCAACAGGGCAAATACTGTCAAAAATTGCTTAGGGAATGCAATCAACATTGATGACAGCAGAGGCTGCAAAAACTGATGAGCCGAAGGAGGAGGAAGCCCATTTGAAGATATCAGTGGATATCGCACTCCAGGGCCACTAAAAGGTAAGTTGTCCGTTTCCTCTCCAGGAATCTAAACAGAATCATAAAAATGCTGTTAGTTTATTAGTGCAAATCTCCCTTTTATACATTCCACTAAGCAGATTAGATAGATGAAACTGTTTTTGTAAATATGACAGATTTCCAACTTACAGTAGAATTTGTGCTGTGTATTTGCAGCAATAAAGAGACAACTTTCCTGACACAACGAGGTAATTGATCTCCACAATGGCGTGCTGCTGATTGGCACACTTGTAAACGTTGCTCATGTGAGGTGGCTGATGCTCTTAGCCTTCCAGCTAGAAAAAGTTCAACTATCAAGCACCCAAGAACCTGAAATACCAATGAAAAATTGTTCTTAATATTGTTCCATAGTGAAAAAAATTTTCTTGCGTATGATAAAATTACCTGCATTTCTCTCAACCGTTTTGAGGCAACAATTTGTAATTTGTACCTTGTCAAAGGTTTTTGGTCAATATCATTAGTTTGGAAAGCTTCCTCACTAACACCATGGTGAAAAGTCTTTCCCAAGAAGGTATGTAAGGATTCTACAGCTTGCAAAGCACTGGTAGGATGAAAGTCACGAGGCAAGTGAATGGTAGAGTTGCTGACATTAACATTTGTAATGTTGTTTTGTGCATTTGTTGAAGCAGCTTTGGGAATCACGTTAGTGCTCGGACACTCCTCAGCAGAAGGTGTCTAAAATTAAGATACAAAATTATGCCAAGAACAAACAAAAATTATAAACTAAGTACTAAAATTTCATTACAATACCAAAAGGGATCCTCGAGATCGACTGAGAAAGCGACTAAGAGCCAAAGGAGAAGGCTTATTTGGAACACTAGACTGCGCTAAAGAGTGGTCATCATCTTCAAATCCAGACCCACAAAGATCCTCTTCCCCGATATCCCGGTCAACTTTTGTGCCTTTTGTGCCAACCAACAATTATACACTGTAGTTGCATTTCTAAACTCATTTGTAAATCTATTCACATGACTTTACACTTACTTCTGAGTGATGAAAATATTCGGGGAGGCACTTTTCCCCAGTAAGGTGAGGCACAGACCTTCTGAGGATGGGGTTGGGTAAAGAGTTGTACCACTCCAGAATTGTTTAAAGTGGTATGACTGTCCACTAAGTGAAGGCATACATTCTTGGCTTTTACTGCTGCAGCTCCAGAAAGCCTAAAACACAGAGATTTTATTACAATGTAGAAAATAGTTTTAGTTTATATCAAACAACAAAACTATTTACTTGTATCCAAATGTTAGATCAATCCAATGGTTGAGACGTTCAGAAACATGAGGAGACTCTAACATTTCTCTATGTCTCTCAACAAATTCTTCTGGACTGGAAACCCAACTAGGTACTTCCAAATCTGGTAAATCTTCATGTGTAGACTAAATTTTAGAAGAAAAACATGGATGTAATTTTATAAAGCAATGAAAACTCCTTCACACAGTGAGAATACACAACTGCCTTACCTTGAAGACAGTGGGATCTGTAAAAAACTCTGGTATACATTCATCAGGAGTCCACTCCTGCATTCTTTGAATGGATGAAGGATATTCTGCTGGTACCCATGTTGACCTGACTACCTTGCACAAAACAGACTTTGGAGTTCTCCTTGATAGATAAACATAGTATGTTATGTCAGATAATACATCTGACACATGATGGGGAACCTGTTTGAACGTGTTGATTATCATGGCTGACATAAGAAATAGCGGATTTGTAAAATTTCTTGGTGAATAATAATACTGCACATACTCAAACATGGCTATGTAAAATGTGTCTATGTAACATATATATATATTTTTAACTATTGGTTTTGTGTATGTGCAGTATTATTAAAAGATTGAGCACTAACCTGCGCACTTCCAACTCCAACATCATAAGTGAGATCAAGTTGCCGATCCCCTTTGTTTAAACGGAATTTAGATTTTGTGAAATCTCGCCAATTCACACCATTTGGAGCAGAAAAATCTGAAACCCAGGGAAGAACGTGATGGCAAGTGGGGTCTCCATGCCTACGTCCAGCTAGGTGGTTGAGTTGGGTCAAATATTCTAAATTGGACATCTGACCAGTGATCCATAAATGACAGGCCTTCTCTAAACCAATACATCGCTCCCGTGTACATTCCTGTTAAAAAGAATACTTGGGTATACTGTGTCAATGTGACATGGTTTGAAATGTTTCATACAAATGTGAAACAGAACCCTATACCTGGTTTGTGTTACTCTCTCTATCAATATTTTGTTCATCAGAGCACTGAGAGTTATCTTTCTGAATAATAGGATCATCCAAAAAAGAAGAATTAGCAGACTCTTTGCCAATATTATCACTTTTAGCAAAAGTTTTGGAGAGCTGCTCTGATCTTAAGGGTACATCATAAATATTGTCCTCTATGAATGGAATGACCTGAAAAATGAGAAGTAGATATCAATTTAGAGTTTTAGATATTTGTTGGCTGATTGTGTGACAATGTAGCACAGACCTGAATCCACAAATTTTCAGACAGGAGGATATCACTTAACGATATATTTCCAAGAACAAGGCCTCTATCATGTAAGGCACACATAACTTGCACCAACTGATACAAAATAAAGAGAGGCTTCGTATGGCAAGACCCAAGTACAGCAGGGCTAAAGCTCACACAATCCTGAAAGTTTTCATGATGTTATTTTTACTACATAATGATTTGCTAATTATATAATATTTGGAAGTTAACAAAGTACCTGCAATGAATGAGCAATGAAGGGTTGAAAAAATATGATAAATGATGTATCAGTTTCAACTGCAACAACAGCTGGTAAAATATTGCAATGAGGGTCTAGCTTGAGCATAATTCGTCTGTTCCGCAGCCCAAAGTCAAGATCTGGACTTCCAGTTAAACTGATAATTGGACAACCATAAGTGCGAGAAATGATGTCCCTCAAAGTTAACTCAAAGCTGGTCATATTGATATGGGGCTCATCATTTGATTCCTTGACCATGTTGCGATCTACACAGGACAAAAGTCGAGTGTCACCAATGGTAAATTATTCTATAAATATAAATTACTGTTGTAAAAAGGAAATTTTTGTCTCACCAGGAAAATATTTTTTGTACATATCCTTCCACATGTTTCGATGGTTAGTGTGGCTTATATAATGAAGTAATTCACCATAAGAGAGAATGGTTTCAGTTGAATTATTCTCGTTAGTGCTGATAGAAGAACGCAAACGAGGAAGAGGAATGACTTGCTTAGCTTGCTTCAGAATGACCTACAGGCAATCAAAGGCAGAAAGATTAAGAACAAGGTCTAAATGTTGTAAATAAAAAGTTAAAATGTCAGCTCATTAATTTTACTCAACCCTCAAATGAAAGCGACGCCAATCTTGCCCTAAGTCCTCTCCTTGTTGTACCCAAGACTGAACCTCATCATCTCCGTAAGTCTCATGATGAGTAAACTCAGGAGCTTGACATGTATGAATTAAAGACCTGAAGCACAAAATGGTGTGAAATATTCAGACTAAACAAATAGCGGGAAGTAGATTTTTAAAATTGATTCTTACTTGAGCCATGTTTTATGAACAGTTGCATCAACGGTACAATCTCTATTGGACCTCCGCAAATAATGTTGAGGAATTCCTAGTACTTCGGTTACGTGGGTTATCGAAGAGAAAGACTAAAATATAAGAAAGTAAAATGAAGGATAAGTAGAAACCTTAGAAATATCAGAATAAAACCAGATGTAAACACATGAAATAAACTGACCATAATGTTTGTGGATGCTGAAGACTAAACAACAAGAAGCTCAAAGAAAAATATCAGATCTACAGAGACATGGTTTGACTGCAACAACATCGAGGAGCAGTACTAATACACTAAAAATGATAAACTGAGGAAAGAGGAAGTTTCCTTACATCAATAAAGTCATCTACCATCTGACTTTGACAGTTCACTACTTGTAAACATTGTGAACCTAAATTTCACGGTAACGAACGACCTCTAGCGGACAGTTTCGGAAGTAAGACAGCTGACGGCCCCGTAAACTGGAGCAGAGGCTTAACCGGAAGTAGTTCTTCTTTCTTCTTCCTTCAATTTTCTCGGCAAGTTTAAAGGGTTAAAAGTTAAAGGGTTAAGTTGTAGCTTCTCGGTAGGCGCTCAAAACCATCATAAGCGCGTATCCTATAAAATGGAAACATTTTCTAGCATTCATGTATTTGTGATAGCATTTCTTTCACACGTTTTCTTGGAGGGAAGCCAGAACGGTGAGCACTACCGGTTTGGTTGTTTATATTTTCTTTCTGCTTGACATCTACATACATTATTCTTTTCGACGACTCGACGACTGACAACCCGCCCGTTGACACCTCCCCCTGCCTCCTTCCACGGTATTCACAATTTAATTCACCGGTATCATTTGTATCATTTTATAGTGTCGGAGAGCATTTCATTAATTCCTTTGCCTCTTTCTTGTATGTATCCTATGAAGCGTTTTTACCGTTCGTGAAATCATGTGTGTGCAGAGGTTATTTTTCCTTGCTGATAGTTTTCCATGCACTTGGGTGAGATTGTCATTTTGTCCAGGAATCGTGAATATTTGAGTTAACTGCTCAAAAATGTTCCATCATTTAAATTCAAAGGGCATATTTAGTTGTCAGCTGCTTTAAAATCTTCTTGCTCTTGGTTTATGTGCTTGATTCATGTGTCTGTTTGGTTTTGCTACAATTCATCTTAAATATCAACTTTAATCATAGTTTTTTTTAAAACATTTAAAATGAAATAAATTTCAATTCATCTTCTGTGTTTTAATCTTATTTACATCTTCGCAAGTCATAATTCAATATGTCATGTGCGGTGGGGTACACAATTATGTGATCGCGACTCACTATATGAGTCAAACCGCACTCAACATAAGTGTACGGCAAACATTTGTATAAAATATAATCTTGAATGTCTAAACTTTTTTAATGGAAGCCAGCTTAAATTTTTAGCCATGAAAGAATTTTAGTTGTTCGTGTGGAATTAATATTGAGTTATTCTAGATGGGATCGTATTTGTTCAGAAATATCTTAGTCTTGGCAATGTGTTTCTATTTCTCAGGTGCTTGGGGGTTATCCAGTTTTCTCTCGTGCAGCTGCTAGCCACGTGCTTTATTAATTGTGCATGCTTTTTATATCGCTTAATGCCGCTGGTTTTTTTTCTAGCGCAGAATTTGATAGAATAAGTATGGAGATTGGAAGGCACAGTCTCGCAGTTCTGGTGCTGTCAGTGGCATCTGTTGTACTCATGAAACAACTCCAAACATGGTATGTTTTCAGCACTACTACTTTTGATTCCCCTATACTTACACAATGAATGATTTGCAGTTTGCATGACATGGTAAATGTTAAAAGTTATTATGGTGGATTGTACTAACACAATAATCCAGAATAAATTTTCCTTCTCTTTTCTTTTATGTCCAGTTTTGTTTTCTCTTGAACTTTAAAGATTTGCTGATGTCTCCATAGTTGTTACCAAAATGGATCCTCTCACACCCCCAAGTAAAATCCGGTGATGGGGCTAGCTCTTATTTTCATATTGTAGTTCATCCTTCGTCTGTTATCTTACCAGCTGCTTATCAAGTGGAGTTCAATTGTTTTTAAGATAATTTCCCCATGAAGATAAGGACCTAGAGGCTAGTAGTCTTTTTATCTCCCTCCTCCCCCTCTCCTTTTCTGCTGTTTTTGCTTTGCCTTTGTGGATCCTTTCATGCAATTGGTAAAACCAGGAGTTAACACCAAAAGAGAAAGAGTCAAGCTGTTCTGACAGTTTTTTATTGGGTATTTATCTTTTACATATGCATATAATTGAAATTTCTCAAAGGTTATATCTGTTTGTTTCAGAGTTTGTTTTTTTTGTAGTATAGCTAAGTACTTTTGCTTTCTTTCTACAATTTCATTTACTAATGATGACACTTGTCTCTTCTCACTTGTCTGATCAATTCTTTGATCTCCCTTAACTTCGCAATTGCTGTTTCACTTTTGCATGACATATGTCCTTCAGGAAGGTGCATGGGTGTCAAATGGATTTGGGCTGCTTGGTGCTTGTGATGGATTTGACATCTTAAATTAGCTGGTTTATTTTGTTTTTGTACTAATTTTTCTCATATTCCAGGAATATTGTGTGTGTCACCCTATTTTTTTCCATCTAATTGTAAGTTTTGTTGGGTCTTTTAAAAACTTTTTCCTCTCAGGAAAGACATGTCTCGAATTTCTGATGAACCCGTGGTCCTAGCCACTGGCGGTGCTGGCTTCATTGGTTCACACATAGTAGTGGAGCTGCTCAATAATGGATTCAGCGTTGTTGTTATTGACAATTTGGTGAATGCTTTAAAAGGTAAAATTTGATAAATTGTATTGTTTTCTTATGAAGGTTTTAGTATGTCTATGAACTAGTTCTGTTAGTAATGCTTCTCTGTCTGCACAGGAAATGATGGAGGTCCCAAACCTGAATCATTGAGAAGAGTTGAAAAAATTACAAACAAGACTGTGACTTTTTATAATGTTGATTTACTTGATATTGATGCATTAAAGAGTGTTTTCTTAAAGGTAATTATAATTTAAAGAAATTTTGCAAGGATTTTTAGACTTGTACTTTAAACAGTATTTTTTCTTTTTGCTATCTTAGCACAACATTGTATGTGTCATTCATTTTGCTGCTCTAAAAGCTGTGGGTGAATCCTGTGAAATTCCACTCACTTATTACAAAAACAATGTAATGGGTTCAATTAATCTGCTTGAGGTAAGTCTTCTACTGTTTAGCAACTGCTTCTTTCTCTTTCTTTACTTTCCTGTGGCAATTTTAGTTTCACAAGGTACATAGCACCTCATTAGTTTTAGTGGCAAATACTTATACTACATTTAATTTCTTGTTGCCAGGTTATGAAAGAATTTAATGTGAAGAAGCTTTTATTTTCTTCTTCAGCAACTGTGTATGGTCTGCCACAGAAGTTACCACTCACAGAAGATCATCCTACTGGTCAAGGGTGCACAAATCCTTATGGAAAAACCAAGTACTTTATCGAGGAAATTCTTCAAGATCTCTGTGCATCAGACAAGGTATCATTAATGTGACTTTCAGAACTGGGTCAAAGTGCTGAACTTGCTCCATTCTAACCTTTTCAATTTTCCTCTAGACTTGGAGCGTTGTTGCTCTGCGTTACTTTAATCCTATAGGAGCCCACAAAAGTGGTTTGATTGGAGAAGACCCCAATGGTATTCCCAGTAATTTGATGCCATATATTGCCCAAGTTGCTACTGGGAAAAGAGCTGAACTAAAAGTATATGGCAATGACTATGACACACTGGATGGAACAGGTAGGACACAGCTTTTGCTTTGGCACCCTGTACATGTTTTATACTACGGTGATGTTAGAAGCACATTCATTTGATACCTTCCATTTGTTAAGGTGTACGCGACTACATTCATATTGTTGACCTTGCTGAGGGACACATCAGTGGTATGAAAAAAGTAATGGACAAAGCATTTAGTGGGTGGCGGGTTTACAATTTAGGAACTGGCACTGGCTATTCAGTTTTACAAATCGTTCATGAGTTTGAAAGTGCAAGTGGAAAAAAAGTGCCATATTCTATTGTTGAGAGGAGACCAGGAGATGTTGCATCATCATATGCTGATCCTACTCGGGCAAAGAAAGAGTTACAATGGACAGCAAAACGCACTCTGTCAGATATGTGTAAGTTCACAAAGGTTTAGTATTCAAAATGTAATTTTAACCT